AAAAATTTCAAGAAAATAAAACCGTCGTTCACCTGTGTCATTAGACTTCTTCTTGACAATAACTACTCGAGAAGGCCAAGAAGAAGTGGAGGGTTTAATTAACCCATCACAATGCATTTCATCCGCTTGAACATTTAGAACAAGTAACTTAGTGGGAAAATAACGATAAAGTTTACTAAACACTGACTTTTATTAGTGGCAACAATATTATGTTCAAATAAATGTGCATATTTCAACACAAGTTGAATTAACTGTTCACTGTCTTTACTCTTTAAATGTGAACATTGTACTTCTTCAATCAGTATATTTTCAGTTTCAAAGTCATGCCTAACAAATGGCACATTTAATTCAAGAACATTTGTGAAGAAGTTTAGGGTTGCTTCATTGTGATGAATGAAGTCTAATCCAATAAGGCAAGATACAGCCAAATATTTAATGACAACAAAACATTGGTTTTCAATGCATTTGTTACCAATAGTTTTGCTTCAAAATATCCTAGTGGTTGACAGTTAGTCATTACATCCTCAAGACATATTACCTTTACTCCAAGTTTTTAATTGAAGTGTTAGATCATTTCTCCTGATTTGTTACCATATATTTTCATTTATTACTGAATAATCTGACCCAGTATCAATACAACCTACTACTTTCACACCATTAATGTTTAGCATTAGGTGTGGTAGATCAGTTTTAGTTGTAATTAAATAGTTAATGGAGGGTTTTACTTTCACGGGATTCAAAACCTCCTTCTTTTATCCCTGCTTTCATTTCCTGACAGCAGTCCTTCATTTATTTATTCCATGTTTACATATTTTACTTTCTTGAGACAATGCATAGATAAGTGCCCTATGTGATTATAAGTATAGCATAACACAGGTCTATTATGAAAATCAGTTATGTTAATTTTTTTACTATTAACACTTGTTTATTATTCTGGCGATGCTCATATTGTTTTGCAAATTTTAGCACATCAGCAATTGATACAAAAAAAGTGGCATTCCAAGCAATTTGAATTTAAGTGCCAGTACAAGGCATCAAATCTAAGACAGGAACTAACCTAATGGATCAGTCATAGAGATAAACCACATAGTATCTAGAAGTGTGTAAAACATAAAGTGGATGAATCTCTGAAATATAGGATCAACAGCTAACACAATTTATGCTTGCAAACTGTACTAAATAGTGTTTCAAATACTGGGTAGGTTGACAGGTAATCAAGCAGAGAGGATACTTCACCACACTTTGTCACTTGAGGGTGGAAACAACACAGATATGTCTAGTTACAGGTTATAAACAGGGCTGTTCAGTATAAAAGCCTGAGCCAAAAAGGTTTCTCGATAGTGGGAGGACATCTTTATACCCTAATGGACAGTGTTTGAGCACTTCAAAAATAGTAGCTTTATTCTAATTAGGTACTTTCCTGCCTTGTTAGGGCAGACAAATATAGGAATAGGAATTCTGAATAGTGAGTTATTATTGCATTGCCTATAAACAATAATTCATTAAAAAATAGTTTCCAGATGGGTGTTAACGGTAGTATGGAAGCTTGTGTGCTCAGCAAGGGACCTCAACTGTATACCATACTCAACCAGTCTCAATTCATAATACAATACTACAATGTCAAGGGTATCATAGATGTTGTTCCTATGGCAGACCGTGATGACCATCCCTGCCTTTGGGTCAGCATGTGTTATGAAGTTAAACCTAGTGAGACAGTGCTCTTCAAAGTCTGAGAGTGTAGTCTCCTGAAAGAGTATGTATCTAACAGTAGAAAACTTTAATGCCAGACATACCATTTGGGATGCGAGTGGAAACACTTATGACAAAGGTTTACATTCTGCTCTCCACAGTATAGCTACCAACTTTATATATATAACAATTTGGGTGAACCAACAAAAATAGTAAGCACCAAGGTGACAAAGACTCCTGTATAAACCTTGCTTATTTCTTACTCACCTTCAATGTCATCTCTATTTGACAGAGGTATAATGTCAACATGATCATTTCATGTTTGAAGTGAGTATGAAAACTAGAAGAAAAACTGGTGTAAGAAAAGTCTAGAAACCCCCATGAGGATGTCAAGCATTTCTTCCCCATTGAGCAAAGTGAAGGCAACAACTGAAAACAATGAACCACAAATATATAGTGCAATAAACTATTAGCAGTATGTAATGCATAAATCTCAGAATGGTTGGTTCTCAGATGGATAGCAGAAAGCAAAGAAACTGCATGATAAGACCATTACTTCAAGGTATGTGCTAGATCTTTCAGGGGTAAAGCTAAATGAGGAAGCTGACAAGCTCACAGAAGGATCCCATACATAAATTCAGCACAACTCTACTGGCATGATATTGACCTCCTCTGCACTAGTAAGGAAAAACATGGCAACCATGGAAGGTCTTTATCAACATTCAAAGCAAATAAAACTGTTGGAAAACAATGTACCATATGGTGTAGTTAGGAAAAGCAAAAGATGAGGACAGTATGCAACCAGAAAGCCACTAGTAACATCAGTAAACAAATTCTCTTCTACCTCCTACAAATCTATCAGCCTCCACATAAAGGGTCAATTCCTGTCCAAGAAACCTAATACTCATGTCAACTCTAACAAATAATTTGATCAAGTGATTTATCCCTCATAGAACTCAGAAGAAGCATTTAAAAATTAAGACTACAAAAAGATTCACAATTTATCCAAGCCCTTACTTAAAAGAACAAAATTATTCACTAAAAAACTATGGACACAAGCATGTAGACATCCTAAAACTTAAAATAAATTTTGATTAATGAAGTAATTTCTAACCAAAAATATTGTATATGTAATGTTTGATAACAGCCTTTATCTTACATATATACACTTTACCTAAATGTTAACAGCATTTATAACACCAGGCCCAAATTTGTGATCAAAATTTATATTAGGTAACAAAAATGTCACTCACTTCCTACGGATATGAATCCAAGTGTGAGAAGCTACCCAGATAAGCACTGTAAAGAACAAACCTGCTCCAGCTGCTGAAACAAGCATGTAAGCTGTCCCCTCCCTATAACAAAAACAAGTTTCTTAAATTAAGCAATTTGCCACATGAAACATGAATCATAAAAAGTATTATAGTTTTTCCAGATGAATATACTACTATCAAATATTATCAATAAACATTAAAATAAAGAACATTTTAAAAGTATTTTTCACCACTAATTTCTATGATAAATAACATACAAATATAGTATTTTTGTTGTTGTTAGGTTTCATCTGCTCAAATACAAAAAACACAGATAGCCACAGTCAATTAGTATCCTAGTTTTATAGGATATTACAAATAATGTTAAATATGAAAAATTAATATTTGTTATAATAATTTAAATTATTATCATTTTATTTAAGAAATAACTTTTCATAAAGATCCAGTAATTGTGGTAGTAATGTTTTTTCATAAGAATGAAACTTTTTCTAAGGATTTTTAGGGATATTAACACATTTATATCTAACTTACATAATATCAATGCAGGTAGCCTGCATAGCTGCATTGTACTCCTTATGCATAGCCTGGCAATTCAATAGAGCTGCCATGCCTGACACAGTCTTCTCAGTAGTGTTTAAGTTTGTAGACAAGCGATCCAATGTCTCTCTCACCTGGATTAAGCAAAATTATGGTAAATAAAACTATAGATATATATTTTCCAATTCATTTTCAAGTATTACTTTCCTATTTAAAATTCTTGTAGAAAAAAAAAAGATGGATTTTAGAATACTTTGTAAACAATAAATTAAATTACTGTAACTTTACTCCATTCTGGAGAAGTGTCAAAATAACTAACCCATAAACAATAAAGCTAGAAAATAACAGAGTTTTAACTGAAGTTGAAAGTGCTGGATAAAACAGAAAAGGCTGAACACTGTCAGTTAACAGCACAGAAAATGTTTTATTAAGGTTATCTACACACAAGATTCTTTGCAAAATTATAAAGGAACAGAGAACTCACATTAAAATCATAAAACTGTGGACAGAAATATTTAACTTTTTTCTTAAATCTGTAAAATCAATTTACAAAATTATCCTTATATATATGTATATCACTGAAAAATGGTAACCATGTAACCATGAGCTATACATACTTTAGCTCTGAATGTGTTAAATACATCTTTGGAAAATTTGGCAAGCTTTTAATAAACACTACAGATTTATTGTACACAAAAAATCAGATCTTTAATAAAGTATTTTACTAAAGATTTGTCTGTGAACTTACAAAGCCTTTACAGACTCAGCCTAAGTGAAATGTGATTTTTATGCTTACAATTTTATATTTGATTTGCTTAACCTTTAAAAAGTCTCCTAAACAAACATCAAGTTTTTTTCAGTAAACCATACTTTATCTCTTATCTTCCCTATCATAACAATTACTGTAGAGAAATCATTAATGTACAGTGAAATGAAAAATATGAAACAAAATCAATAATACCTTTTTTCCTTCTACAATTACTGTAGGTCATATCAGACAATTACAAATAAATTATTCTAACAGCCTCAGCTTCCAACTATTCCAAATCTATTTTATTTTAATATTATGGTTTTAGTACTGTACTGTGGACCCTTTCTGTGTGTGAAAAGCAAAGAATCACAGCAGTAGAACTTTAACCCTATCGACATGGGTCACAGGCCATGTGATCGCATTTGTTGACTTGCATTCACAATTTTTTCGAATGACTATTTTATGAATTTATGTCTATAAATTTAGTATCAAATTGTAAATTATAATTCAAATTCTAGTATTATATATTAGTTAATTTCTTAATTTAAATGTAAATACACAAAAAACACACCTAAATATCAATTTTTGTCACGTGGTATGTTAAATGCAGCACTGGTTCAAATTAAATGTTTGTGATGTCCAAATACAAATTGTTCAGTTTTATACGAATTAGGAACTCAAATTAAAGATATTGACAAGCTAGAATATAAAATAAGAACACCCTATCATTTCTATTTGTTGAGATATAGTTACATTTACTGAATCAAACACAGTGACCCCACCCACTTCTTTCCATTTTTGGAAACACTTCCTTACGTATACCTACTTCTATCTAGACACGTGAATAACCAATTGAAAGCTCAGAATGTCCTCCTGGTGGATTTATTAGCCATTTTGAAGTATTAGGGTGTCAATCTTGTTCTTTTGATACAAGATTTCAAACTGGTAAGTCTTTAGTGAGCTCACAATTTCATATTTTTTAGACCCAAGTACAGCTTAGTTACTAAGCTTGATAAATTATAATGGTATTCTATGGTATTGATAAAGTAATTTATGTCTTTTTGGTTATTTCATATAAAATAAATCATTTCATTTTACATCTTCCGCGTGTGAAATTTGATAAGGTTTAGCAACCTACAGCAAGCAGCAAACGAGTACAAAGTTCGTAACTAGAAGATAATTGTTTGCTATACTTCTTTATTTACTGTTCTATGTTTTAAGAAAAATAAGTTTAAGAACTTCTTTGTAAATAGTAATAATGTATATACACATATATAATGTATTATAACTGAAATGTGACTGTATTTTACAAAATAATAGTCCACTAAAACACAGCCAAGACATGTCACTTTGTAAAGGCCAGTTTTACATTCTTGGATACGGTAATGAGTGCACGTGCACAACGTCATTGCAACTTCCATAATTTTAGCCAGGCATGGCTGGAAATTCAATATAATAAAAAGGATAAATACATATAAATGTATAATGTTGTGAGATTTAAGCTATTTAGTCTAAACATTTATATCATGTTATAATTTGTTGTCATTCTAGAATGAAAAAAGCATAATTTATATTTATTTCCTATTTTTTTTATGGTGGTGTTATGAGATCGACCAAATCTACTTCATCCGTACAGAGCTTTGTTAGTGAAAATAACATAAGATATATAGTTTTTTCTTAAGAAACGTTTGATAATTATCTGGACATTATAAAGATTTTGCATGTGAAACAAAAATTTTCTGATGCATAAAAGTATTTTTAATCTTAAAATCAAAATTACTTTGCATGCTGTATAGTCAACATGCGAAAAGAGAAAGGGCATGAGAAAAACATTACTTAAAAGATCTTAAAACTTAATAAAAAATCGGATCTTCTGCATACGAAAGTCCTGTAATGTTTTCTGATAATCTGCAAAATTTCGTGAAGATACGCTTACTAATTTAAAAGTTATAGCATGAAAAATATAACAAGCACAAAATGATTACAAGTTTGTATTTTGATGTTATGCTTCAGTAATGCTACTTTTTCTCACTGTGTTGGTTGTTCAAAAGTAATTCATGTAACTTTCAAATATGCATTTTGGAACGAAAAAATATTATTGAGACACTAGAATAGAATGTCTCAAAATTAATGTAACTTATTTTGCTTTCTAACAAAGCTACAAACAGGTTACAAAATTCCATTAATGTTTGGAGAAATGATCTTACTCAAAACACATCAAGCTTTATTTTTGTAAACTACCAACTTTGACCGCAAAAACTAAACAATTAAGCTTACAATTTCTGTACAATATGCTATTTCTACCGTTTGTAAAGATATCCAACAAACAAAGTAGGCATAAGTGAAGAACTGGCTTGAATTACATGAAAAGATGGGAGAGGCTTCTCTGGTAGGTTTTAAAAATTTAATACTATCTCAGCAAATCATGAACGTAGGAGGTCCAGGATTTATATAATTCCTTGTCAATATGTGTAGTTTGTGTTTCTAACTGGTTAGACATTATAGAAGCTGTATTTGTATTGTTGAATTTTTTTATTTTAGTGCAAAACTACACAATTGGCTACTTGTGCTCTTGTCCACCATGGCGATCCAAGCCCTGAATTTTTAGTGTTTTAGATCCATAAATTTACTACTGATCCATCAAGGCTCAAAGTTATAAAATAGAAAAAGCAGAAATCAAAGTGCAGATGTGTCACATGACAGAACAGTGAAAAATATACATGTTTTTAAACATTTCCTTTTCAAATTAAAACTTGAATAATATAAAACTTAATATAAACTACATTTTGATGCCAACTTTATTGAGATACATTGATAATACATTTATTTAATTAAATTTTGAATGTAAATCTGTAACAGAGTTGTGATGTGCACTTTGATCCATCTATATGCAGAGGGTTAAAGTGTTTTTATTTTAAAAACTGTCAAAATGTACAAACTTTTCATTTGTTGGACTATGTGCAACACCAGTTTCACTATTTTGCATAATTGATTAATGTCTCCAAGTAGTTTTTCTTATGTGCTGGTCTGGTCTAGTTTACAATTACTGAAAAAGTGAAACTTCTCTGCTCAAAATATAATCTGAAGTCTTTTAAAAATATTATGAAAATAGATTGCCTGTTTTTTCATATAGCCTAAAGAAATTAATCATTCAAAAATAACACAATTGTGTTATATTATGTTCAGAAATAAAAAATTAAACTCCTTCAGCATCTGTACATGCAACTTAAAACTCATTCAACAAGGAAACATGCCTGCTTCTCTGGATAGAAGACACTTGTTATTTGAGTTACGACATTCAATGTACTCTCCACGTTGTCTATGGTCTTGGTACTTTCCTTGATGGGCTGTAAATACAGTATGCAATCAAATTAATAAAAATCTTTAGTGAATGATATAAGAATAAAAGACATTTATTTCAATTCTGAACAGCTGTTAAAGTTTACTTTTCTTACTCAACTTTCTTTACTTCCAAAACAACAGGAAACTCTCGGGTAATAACTATAAGACTAATCTCAAATTAGCACTGTCTGATGACATATTTATAGGGTAGTAACAACTAAACATGTTCCATAAAACTGTGCTACTAGCACTGCAATTTATAACAGTATCTTTAAAAAGGTATACAATTAATTTCAGTTACACCATTTTTTTACTCACATCTTACTAGATTTTAATGCAAAAAAAAAATAAAATATTTTTTCCTCATTTATGCTTGCAATTATAACTGTGAAAAGGACAACCTGCAAGGTAAACTGGTAATTAGATAACACTAACTTATCAGTTTTTTGTGAAGATTGTCTATTTGAACAGTGATTTCCAATTATTTAGCAATATTCTATTACTACAATATTTATTTATTTCAAAAGTTTGTTTAATCATGTTGAGAAGCGAGGAACAACATTAACTTCAAAAATTAATGATTAAATGGTCTATAATTTGATAAATCCATGATAAGCAATAATTTTTGGTTGTTAAATAAACTGAGTACAAACTACATTCACACTGAAGAATAATGCTTCAGACTCATGTACAATCTGACAAGCGAGTCATGTATGAAATATAATGTTACAACAATTGTTTTACATGCATATGATTTTTCTTTATTTAGCTTTGAAAAACTTGAAACAATATAAAAATATTCTTACACCAGTAAATGGATTAACAGTTGAGTCATCACACTGTAGGTAGTATGTCAAGACATCTGTTTTATATATAAAAATAAATATTTAGTATACAAACATTTATAACCATCCAAAGAAAGCTTTATCAGAACTAGATTTATTAAGAAAGGAAAAATATTTTTACACAATAATGAAGCATAAAGAATAAAATGTATGTCAATGTTTTATTTATACACCTTCTAAAGATTAATTTTTTTCTATATTAAAAAAAGAAAAATATAAAACCACCCATGTAAAATCTTTACATAACTTTGCCTCTTTGGGATTTAATATTAGAAGTTTTTTTAAATATAAGTACATTAGTTCAAACAAGCATGGTTTCTTATTCATGATATTAGAAAAACATATAGGTTCAAGAAGTCTTTATAGAAATGAATAAAACCCTATAACCTAAGCGCTTTTGAAAGGTGGACCTTTTTTTCTTCAGGGGCAAACTGGGAATGGTAGTGTAATCGATTAAGTGATATATATAAAGGGAGTTTAGTGACATCATGAAGGTCATCTGTTTTTCCAGAAAATGTTTAGTTTTTTTTCTCTATGTACTGTTGTAAGCATCTCACTTCCAGTACAGTGTAGCCAATGGCAAGAGTGTATGTTAAAAGGTGTTAGGGATATTTTACTTTAGAAATGGCTAAATATATGTACATTTAAAACTATACTTAAGTGTTCATATATTAGATACAGATGTAGTTCTAATAGATAGCTAAGAATGTCTCCATTCTTGTGAAATAAACCTTTTAAATACTGGTAGTCATTAGTCTTGATCTTCATCAATCTCACCATATAACTGATATAAGACATCAGTCCATCCATCCATCTGTGAAAAGTTGGGACAGAGCACTAGTAACTGTAACTGAATATAACCTCCACAATCAACACACCTAGTTGGCTCATTAAATATTTAAGTCCAAGTTTTCCTTACACGGTAGTAGCAGGAAGAGATATCCCTTATTCTGTTGTCATTTTTTTTTACTTCTCAGAAAAGATTTCCTAACTAGCTGTACTGACAATGCTGGTTTACTTACTTCAAAATATCTTATAGACATACTCCTCCAACAGAGCTACTATACCCATAATCCACTAGTTAATCACAAAAAAGTTCAAGAAATGTATCAAGGAATTAGGGAAATTTCCCATCAAAGTCCAGCAAATCTTCTTGCCCTTACAGAAACATTCTGACAATCAGGCACTGGTTATAAATGTATGAAGTCCCACCAATGCTTTCATTTCAAATCTGCTACTACTGAAGAGCTTTCTGCTTTTACAGTGGAATTTTCTCCAGGTACTTATAATGTCGACATTCTGAGAACAGTGCAAATAAAATTATTCATGTGTCAGTAAACCTGCAACTGAAAAGTACTGACTTCGCATGGACTTTTTTCCTGCTAAGGCAAGAAACAATCCACAACTAAAGTCCCCTCTATGGATACAGTGTCACATACATTATCAAAGGCCCAGCAGAAGTGTGCAGCTGAAATGACAATATGGTATTTTAAAATTTCACAAAAATTAAGATATAGTAAGAGTAATTATTTATGCTTATAACCATTATTATTGACCTTATTAGGTAACTTGCATTATACATTTTCAAGCTCCATTGGAACCACACTTGTATCTCATTGCAATGAAATAGCCCAAAAAACCTCTCAAAACATGACAAGATTTAAGGAGGCCTAACTACAAAACTGATGAAAACTCCCATTCTACCAAAGCATCTTCACTATGAAGAGACACAACATGATCCGGTGGTATGTCTGCTACATGAATCCACCATCCACACTATTGTAGCTCTCAAGTGACACCCCATCCAAGGTTCTGCTTGGTCTATTTGTGTGAAATGCTTCATTAATTAAAAATTTACTGTGATACATATAACAAACATTTTTTTTTCAGATATATTACTGAAAAAAAAAAGTTCCTCAGAGCAATATGAAGGAACCTTCTTTGGATTAGTGTTACAATAATTGTTTTCTAAGGGTTTGTCTCTATAAAAACCATTTTCATTACATTTACATAAACAAAATTATTATCTTACTGGTATCAATACTTGATCCTGCCTGCTTGTATAAGAAAGGTTGTGGATCCAAACAAAAATCAGAACCAGCCTGAAAAAAATTCAAAAACAATATTAAAGTAAACTAAACTTTCATGTAAAATGCTCCAATAGCAACAATGTTAGATATTAAAATACAACTGGCAGAAAAATAGTCACAGTGTGTTTGTACAATCTATTATCACATTATCTTATTTTGTAATAGATATTCAGTTTTACTCTTATCGTATTATGCAGGTTAATTCCTAAGTTCTTATAAAAGTATAAAGATTAGGCACATAAAGAATTTAAAAGCACCATTACTACAGGACTTCCATGACTGAATGCTTTTACCATTCAATTGTTCCTCAAGATTCACTTTGAACAAGGTTAAGTGAATGAAAAGCTAATGTTTCTTCTTCAAAATTGGTTTAAGTTCTGTATATCAAACATTTGCTGTTCTATTTTCTTCACAAAAGATTACATCTTTTTATCTATTTTAAATAAACATAAGTGAAAGTTAAGTGAAGTAGGCTAGTTTATGCTTAAAATCAACACAGTTTGTTGTAAAAAATGGCAAAAGAACTCAATTTTACAAGAAATTCGAAAAAATTTTATTTTGAAGAGTAAACACATTTACACAATTAAAAGTTCTGATAGGAATACTGGGTTCATAGTTCAATTAAAAACAATATAAAACTTTAGATGAAAGTTACATTTCATTAAACTCCATGTTTGTTTACAAGCTTTTCATTAAAAGCTTGAAAGTAGACGAGAGTAAACGGAAGCTCGATCAAAAAAATTTTTATATTTTATATATATTCAAGATGTAAGTAAAAAAAAAACTGAAAAAATTTGGAAAGCATAGACATTCAGATTGAATGAATGCATAAAATTTTGAGATCCAATTCTAGTTACTGTGAAATATATATATTATACTACAAAAAGAAAGCATTTAAAGAAGCTAACAGATATTAGAGAAAAACAACAGATATTGCTGATGGAAGATTTTATTTTTTCAATGAGAGAAATGTGTAGAAAGTTACTTAACTTTCTAATAGCAGCACAAAAATCATGGGAAAATTGTATCTTTACAGTAAGATAAAATATTAATTGAGGATATAGAAGACGGGTGTGATCCTGATACATATTAATTTGGAATAGTCAAATTTGTGAGAGGTAACAAGTGGAACAAAGCAAACATTATCAGAAGATGCAGGAAATAAGAAATAAGTCATTCCAATGATTTTTTTAGCAAACTGGGTAAAGAAAGAACTTCAAAAGAATGTGCATTTTATGGAAACAATGATACACAATACATACCAAAAGTGAATTAAATTACATTCCAAAAATTAGTAGGTGAAGAGAGAAGTCCAAAGATAACAAGGTGCATACTTGTAGGGCACAATAGTTATTGTTTGGTAAATGCTAGATTACAGACTGATGATGAAAGAAAATTCACTTTCATGAGCTGTACTGGATGTACAGTATACACAAAAAGCACTGCCCCATTGGATGCAAGACAGAAAATGCAGCCCACACACACAACTTTTCATAGGCAGGCCAAGAACACATTCATACATGGACATTGCTAAATACCATCGTGGCCACATCCAATAGTGGAATACTTAAAACATCAGAAATTAGACATGGACACAGGAACAGTTGAACGAAGTATTTTTTTTTTTATGTTCAGGTAATAAATAACTGCCATTTATCAAGATTAAACTCCTTCTCTTGTGTGAAACTTTGCTTTCATAATTGCTTGACAACAGGTGTTAACTGAGTGGGTGATCATTAATAGATTGTCTTAAAAAGCTCTTCAATTTTAAGCCATTTGCACCAACTAATTTAGTTTTTGATTCTGACTAAGTTTAGTTTAGTATTTTACCTGTTGCTCAAAAAATATAGAGAAAATGTAGGACAAAAAAATACTTTTTTTATACTTTATGCAAATCTTAGATCACTACAAAATATCAAACTTGGACTTATTATCTTTAAAATTCTTGACATGAAGATATTTATACTTGAATGAATTACATGCAACAACATTTACAACATTAATTTTTTTTTTTAGTTGCAATCATTTAATCAGAGCCATCTTCAAGCAAGTGAAGTTAAAAAGGCTCCAGTAGGAGGACTGAAAGTTTGCATTACAAAACAAAAGTTAACTTAATGAACCTCTACTGTTCCCAATGAAGGCTCTAATAATAGGGCTGAATCTCACAACAATAAAAAAACATAATTTAGCACAGTGAATGTCCATGTAACTTACTTAATCAAAACTTTGAACAATTTGTTTCACATTCTTTAAAATCAAGCAGTACACCTTAGCCAAATCATTATTGCCTAGGTTACTTTGGGATAGACAAGATGAGATACATACAATTTTAGTATTTTATTGATGTCATATTTAAAAATGAATGATGTTTAATTGCATTATAGTTTTTTTTTCAAATGAAAATAATTTAATAATATATGCCAAAGATCATTTCTTCAATATATTATTATTGCTAATATGTCAATAACAAGAAGTGGAATTTGTCACCAACAAAAAATTGAAGATTACAAACATCTGGTACTTTGAACCAGAACACTTTACATGATACATGGGTTAAACAGCCATGTCTAGATATAGCCATTCCTAATTTTGAACTACTGTCTAGAGCAAGAATAATAGTAAGTAGCACCCGCCTCTGATGAGATGTCTCAGCTGCATATCACAACATGAACTTTAAACCTCCTGATTCACAGTCTAGCAGCCTAACAACTAAGCTACATTCATCCTCACATGCAAAGACAGCTGTGTTTACACAGCCTACAAAGCTACTTATTAAATACAGGTACAGTTACAGATATACTCAGAACAAAATCAGGTATTAAAATTATCACAGAATAATGTAATAAAACAACAGTTACTTAAATCTATGATACTAGTCATCTTAAAAACTGATAAAATATGAAATTCATAATTAAAAAACATGTTGCTGGTATAACAGAATCAAATAACTTTATATATTTAAATTATGAAAATGTAACAAACTATTATAAGCAAAGTTTGAAACACAGATATAAAGAACAAAATTATCTTATGCATTCTTTAAATCCTAATATTTAAAACCTACTGCCCTGATAGACTATACATGTTAGCATTCTTGACTCTTACATATAAAGATCCTTTTAGATTTTACATATAAGTGCATTGAAACTTATGAATTGTACACTTTTGTGGTCACTTCTTAGACATTTTTCTTCTGCAGTTTCTTACTTTTTGTGAGCTCTAAAAATACACATAAGATTTTTTATTGTTTTGCAAAATGTTGCTAAAACATTCACTTTTCAATCCACTTTGGTTGTTTTCTGTATCAACTTTATATCACACATATAAAATATATGTGCTACTTTAATAAATTAGTGCTAAATTTTTAATTACATCATTTATTGGAGTTTGAAATGCATAAAAAGTTTGTGATTATGTTTTAAATTCTTACTAACTGACAAACTAAATCCAAATAACTTCATGGAACACATGGTAAACAACTGCAGAGGCTTCTGAGCTATGTAAATATCTGAATATAAATTTATAAAAGTTAGCATTGACATTTAACAGAAATGTATACACTATATTGTACTTGCATTACAAATTTTTTATGGAAATTTGAAAATTATGACAGATATTTATATAAAGTTAACATAAAACTTCCTATCAAAACTACAGTAATTCAATCTTTTGACTTGTGTATTGAAATATTTTGATCACATAAAGGCAGTTTTGGGTATTTTGGAACACAGGAAATTCTAGGATGTCAGCCAACATCTGAAAGCTAAGTTATAACTGGTTAAGCTTATGTTGATAAAATTAATGAGTTTTTAATACTGATTTCCTCAGACTGTGTTCTCTCTAGTAGATGGTATTATAAAAGAGACTAGAATTATCCAGAGCATGTTATCTTATTCCAGAAAAAAAATTTGTAACATTTACTGGAACAACTTAACCTGACTCTTGGTGGTGATAACTCAAAATGCATCAGGTGATATTACCATAAAACATGGAAAATTCTATTACTTACTAGTTTTATTTTCATATGTATTTAAGAATGTGCCTTTTAGTTTTCTTAATGTATTTTTTATCATATACTGATATTAAAACAGGGCTTGTTCCATTTGGAATTTTACAAGTTTTAACAATACTAAAATTATCAACTTGAGCAGCATCTTATGCACATGTGGGCTAAAGGACAGGTCAAATACAATTACTTTTGAATCATTTCCAAGTGTTAGCAGTACCTGTTGCCAAAAGTACCTTGTTTGACTCTTTGAACCATATAACTAAATTAACTGTCACTTTTACAATGTGACAACAGCATAAAAACAAGTAGCATGATCAGCTGCAACATGCCACAAATCCATATCCCAATATGCTAACCATTATGTATACTGTAGTTATACTGACCCCACAAAGTCCTGAATTTTCAATTTATGTAATTACCATTTAATAGTACCTACTAGCAGATATTTTATAAAATAAATTATACGTACAAGACTTACATTACTACATGTATTTTAAAGATAATACTTGTGTGAATTGAAATAGTAAAGGAAAATGACTAAACTATTTTATACCTCAGCCAAATCATTCTTAGTTTCATACTCTAGAAAAGTGGTTCCCAAACACTTTTAGTCTGAGGCTCCCTTGATGTGAAGAAAAAAGTCTAAGGCCCCCTCAACCTTTAACTTTAGCATGGTGTTTGAAAAAC